ATGTGGGTACTCAAATAAAAGGTCTCGAAGAGTGTAACATCGGGATGAGTTTATATCTTAGAAAATGTCAATACTTTAAAAGATACAAGGTCATTTCTTAATTATGTCAAATTGCACTGTACTGTCTTAACTATTGACATTTTTAAAGATATAAGCTCATCCCGATGTTACACTCATCGAGACCTTTCATTTGAGTACCCACATGGCATTTTCATATATTTTTCATATATACATATATATAATATATATAAATATATGAAAAGTTGATGTGGGTACTCAAATGAAAGGTCTTGCTAGGTGTAACATTGAGATGAGCTTATATCTTTAAAAATGTCAATAGTTCACAAGATACAAGGTCATTTCATAATTATGAATCTAGAGATATTTTCGAATGTAGTCTAAATACTTATCATAATAAATTAACTATCGGTTAGAATGATATGAAACCTTGAAAAGGCACAAATTCAAATCAAGACCTTTGCAATGACACTAAATTTTACTGAAAAAACCAATTTTATCATATGACTATTATCTTATTCTCTTAATAATATAAATTCTTATTTCTTCTTTGAAATAAAATTCTTCCATTAAAATTTCTTCTCTATTTAACCAACCTAATTTCTTCTTTATCTAAAAAACAAATAAATCTAAAACATAAAACAATGAACAAGTGTGATTTAACTCTAAGAAAATTTCTGAACAATTAAAAAAAGTCAATTTAAGTCAAATGAAGAGCTGCCTTGTTGGTACTCGATTGAAGCCCGTCCAATTTAGTATTTGGGGTAGCTGCGCTTGCGCAAGAGATCTTGATCCTCTTTTGTATGTTTTTAATGCTTATACTGGAGACTGCGTTGGTGATGATTGCGTGACACAACTCCAGAATATAACACAAGTACACACGGACAATTTAGTGTTTGTGTGTTGGAGTCGCCAGTGGTTGGAGTTGGAGTACATGTACAGTATCATATGAAGTCCCCTCTTCTTGGAGAACTTGTAGGGGAAAACCACTGGGTTAACGCTCGGTTGGTTGTTGGTTGTTGCTTGTTGCTCGATCTACGCCACCCAGTTTCAGTCTCGTGTCAGCAGAAACAAGTTGCTCGCAGTCATGCTCGTGAGTTATTCTGTTGATACCAAGTGTGCGGTTCATGCTTTTGCATGATTGCCGATTTCTTCTTGACAAATCTGTCAATCAATAAATAATACTAAATAATAATAAGTGAATGTAAAATTTATCAGGGTATTTATATTACTTACCCTAAGTACATTTTAAGAATATAAGTTGAGTGATTTGATTGAAGTTTAATTAATAAAGATCTAGATTCTTCAAATTGGATACAGTTCAAGGACTTAACACTGCTCACTAGAAAAAAGCTTATTAGCTGTGATACTTTTCTATAAAAACAGTTTGTTATTTATCAGTTTATTAATTGACTGATTAGTGACAGAATAGAGTGATGATTATTTGTAACAATTGAATTGAACTTAATCATCATCATCATCATCATCATCATCTTGGTCATCAATAAAAAAGGAGTTTTTAATATAAAGTGTGTCAATTAATGAAGATCTGTGAATAATAAAACCATGATGCACATAATTTTTTTGTCATCAATCCTGATCGCTATTTTAGCCGCGAATACTTCTGCGGCTCCAACACATGGGCATGCGATCGTTCCAGCGGCAGATCAATGCGATTGGACTGGAAGGTCAGTATCTTGCGATTTACGACACTTTTAGTTTTTATTTCAAGTTGGATTTAAGGAGATCTAAGTATTCTTGTGTTGTTCATATATTTTATATATTTATATATGAAAAATATATCAAAATTGATGTGGGTACTCATATGAAAGGTCTCTATGAATGTAACATCATAATGAGCTTGTATCTTCAAAAATATCATAAGTTGACAAAATACAAAGTAATTTCTTAATTATTGACATTTTTAAAGATATAAGCTCATCCTGATGTTACACTCATCGAGATCTTTCATTTGAGTACCCACATCAATTTTTCATATATTTTATATATTTATGTATATGTATATATATTTATATATGAAAAATTGATGTAGGTACTCAAATGAAAGCTCTTGATGAGTGTAACATTATGATGAGCTTATATCTTCAAAAATATCATAAGTTGACAAAATATAATGTAATTTCTTAATTACTGACATTTTTTAAGATATAAGCTCACCCTAATATTACATTCATCAAGACTTTTCATTTGAGTACCCACATCAATTTTTCATATATTTTATATAT